TGATCGAAGGCTCCAAAGATTAAATCACAAAATAAATATCTAAAGCCAATGTGATGAGCCAACACAGATTATATAATTACAAGTAAAATCTATATATTTGAAGAAACAAATTACAGACGTTTCATACTCTTCATTTGAGTTCTCCTCAGTGTGGAAATAAAGAATCATTCGTATAAATCAAATATAAAATATTTTTATAAAATTCAATAATTATTTATAAGTTTGAAGAGGTCAAAAACTGTAAATACATTAATGTAAAACAATATTAAAAATTATTTTAATTCTTTTGCTACTTATTTATTATTTAAGTACAACTCTTAATACGACTCTAGTAACAACTACTATAACAATAATAATAATAATAATTTCAAATATATAATAGAATAAGAGGCTAAGAGCAATAACGGGTTATTAGTTGGGGTTATTATTTAATAATTCTTAAAATGATAATAATAATAATAATAATAATAATAATTCCACTAAAAACACTTATGAAATATGCAAAATATAATATAAAGCTTTTCATATTCTGAAGCATTTTTGTATTAATTTTATTGGGCAGATGTCAAACAACTGAAAATTCGATAAAAACATAAGAATAAAATATATGAAAAAATTTAAAAGCAGGATGAGGACTTTCGATGTTGCTCAGATTTTGGCTCACTTGTTATTTCATTTGCATACTCGCGGTCGTGCCCGAGAATTCAAACTGTATACTACGTTTACGAAAGCATGGCGGAAGATGAGAGTAACAATGTCAGGATCCCTCCGTTCTCCTTATTTCTTTTTTTGTGACACGTATGCGCATACATGCAAGAATTATTTTTCGACATATACAGGCCCTATAATTCGTGCGAGGTCACGTCGCAACCGGGCCGACAATCGCGAAAAGACATAAAACCTTCCGATCTCTGTGATCCGCGCACAGGACTCAACGTGCACGACCTTAATTCTTTTTAATAAGAGACGGAGATGAATAATTGTATGCATTTGCGTATCTTTGCTTGCCTGGAAAGGGAAACAGTGAGACATTTAGCATATTAAAGAACAGCCATCCGCCGAGCATCGAATGCTACGAAGCTGTTCTCAGCTGGAATGATCTTAAGAATCGAGATTTAAAATGTGAAGAGGAAATTTATATTAGAACAGAAACACACATTTTACATTTTATTTAAAAAATATTCGATGATGTACTTATAAAAATGACTTAAAGTATAGATAAAGAAAATCTTTTTTTTTTATTTCCATTTTGTTTGACAGATAAAAATTATTGATCATAAAATTGAATACGGTATAAAAGATCAGGCAGCGAGCAAGAGCGAATATAAATATCCGGGCAGGACATCGGAGATAAAATATCGTTTCCGCTGTATCGTGGAAGAAAAGAGCGAAGAAAAAAGCGAAGAACTTCCTCCATCCCTTCATCCCGCCAAGTCCGACCATTGCAGAGCACAAGGATAATTGCATTAATTTATTCCCGATCCGCCACAGAAATTCTAGATCCTTCGGGCTAATTACGTTATTAAAGGACTCGACTCCCATCCCATACCATCCCCGTAGGATTACGGTTCCCGATAAAATTCCTGGAAGAGCAAAACGCCCGCCCGCCCGCCC